AAAATCACCCAATATATTATAGACCAGTGATCATCAACTGATGGCCCACTGCTCCGATCCCGCCCACAGATTGTCCAGACGTGGGCCATAACTGGATTTTAAAATAAACAGCAAATGTTAGATAAAAATGTGATTTTTATTTTATTTTATTTTTGAGTATCTGGCCCTGAAGGTATGATGCAAAGATAAAGACCAAAATACTGGAAAGACTGACCCACCTTGACTGACTACAGTATAGGTTCTCATTTTTGTCCAAATACAACCTTGGTGGAATAAGTCCATATAATTTGGAGTTGACCGCTGTCGGAGTAAATGTTACTCCCATCTAATCACACAAATGAAAACATTAGTAAACATTAGCGTCTGATAGATTACATTTCATTATGACTTCAGGTTTGTTTTCAGACCTAAAGACTTCATGGATGATAATTCAACTGTTGACCTTTTCAAGAACTGATCAAAAACCGAAGGTTCAGTGAACTTGATCTTTATTTCCACGACACGGTGGCAGTGAGTGTTTTGCTCTGATGTATTGTTGAATCCAGTTACTTACAGCTGGTGTCCCCAACCTCCGGTCCAGGGACCAGAGTCGGTCCACAGGCCATTTGGTACCGGGCCTGGTACTGTTTTCATTCAAAGGTAATCTGTCAATGTTTCAAACCAACAGGCCATTCAGACTCTGATACTAACGGAAAAAAGTCGAAAAAAGTGAAAATTCAATGATCCTTCAAGAGTGGCGCGGTATTACCGGTCCTCAGTTTTCACACTGGGATGTGAACTTCAAACAGAGAGTACTGGCTAAAGTCAGAAATTAAAAACCAAAAAAAAGAAAAAAGAATGTCCTAACTACAGCACAGAGAACATGGGTGGTGCAAGATGGAGAGGGAGGCAGAGACGAGGGCAGTCCTGGGAGATAGAGAGAGAGACCACCGGAGTAAAGTCCTGATGAATTCTCTGTTCAGAAATAGAAAGCCCATCCCTCCCCTCTCCCACCCTGGCCCCGTTATCACTCATCCTCCTCAGCCGTCCTGCTGTGGTTTTTTCCACTTCTCATGCCGTCTCCGTCTCCATGTCTGACTCCATCTGTATCTCCCCCATATCTCTTTCTGTCCCTCTTCCCTGCTCTTCCTGGTGATAGTGTGCCATCTGTGTGATCAATGGAGTTCATTCTTTCCAGGAAATTCATCTGTGATGGATTTTGCTTTGCTGCACTGTCTGTGATTTTCCTCGCCTTTTACTTGAGCAAGGCCAATTGGTCTTCTGCTCAACAGTTGGCCTAGAAATATTTGCCTTTCTCCAAAAAAAAAAAAACCCAAAAAAACACCCAAACTTTTTTTCAAGTTCTACTTCAGTTGGACACGATGTTTGGCATTTAACGGCGGAAATGATTCGATTTTCCTCTGACTAATGGTTGTGCATTGCTCTGGACGTAACAGAGTAAAAGCAGCAATTACTGCACGTCGAAGTGAAGTTTTCATCCTTGAAAAAGCTGTTGCAACAAATGTGCCAAGCGAGGTAAGAGGCGATGGCTGGCGACGGCGTTTTCTCCTCACCCTCAATGAGGTGATGCAACAAGACACATGAGAAGAAACAGCCGACAAATCAGGTGGTGTTTTTTAGGAAAAGTGTTTGAGACACTTGAAGGATTTGCAGCTGGAAAAGTTTATTTTGTTGTTGTTTTTTTTAAGTCAGCAGGGAGAAAAAGTTAATCTTCAAATTCTGTCGTTTTGTTTTTTGTTTGACACATCCAGATGCGGCAATACAGTGAAATCACAACAGAGCAAAATTATGGATTGTTTGTATGTGTGTGTGTGTGTGTGTGTACCTGGTGAAGCAGTACCTGTGGGGTCGTTTGTTTGAACATACAGTTCTGAGGACATTTTGCAGGTACTATGGTCTGAGCGAGTGTTCTGAAGTTCTGAGGTGGAGATTTTTGGTCAGTTAAAGTTAAGATTAAGATTAAACATATACTTAAAATGGACGAGGTTAATGAAAGAGGCTAGGGCAGCCATAGGCAAAACTATGGCCCGCGGGCCAGATGCGGCCCATTTGGCTTTTTAATCCGGCCCACAAAACCTTTTCCAAATTAATGTTTGTGTTTATGTTAATTTATATTTTCATTATATTTCTGCCTTTCCCCTGCAATGCCTGCATTTCCCCAATAGAGGGAAGGCATTTTAGCCTTTTAGCGTTTACTGACTGACTGTTACATGTCATTTGTTTTAGTTCAAATAAAAAAAAACAAACAAAAAACAACTGGATTATCATTAAATAAAGTAAATAATGAATGAATAATTGAATGAATAACTATTTGGCTGCAACACAGGACCAAATGACTCATGGACCCATACCGGCCCACGCACCAGAGGTTGGTAACCCACACTGTAGAGTATTACTGCTAATGTAAAACTGCTCATTTAGTTTGTGCTGACATTTATTAGGTTAATTTGTAAATTATGTATTGTATATTTGTATATGTGTGTGTTGTAGTACCTACAGTTTTAATCTTTACAAATTGTTTACTTATTCAGAAAACACAATTTCACGTCTAGCGGACGTAAAAAGTCACAATTATGACAATTATTAAGTTGATAATAAATAGACTCCGTCACTTTCTCTTCACATTTCATTTCCCATCATGCCCTAACTTTGTTTCCTATAATGTCTTTATTTCTAATAGCTTCACCTCAGCCAACTCTCTCACCCCCGCCTCACCCCTTCGTGCCCACACACTGTAACCAAACCCACCTTCTTTTTCTCGTTGCACCGAGGTATCACTTTATTTATCTGCTATTATTTTTTGTGAAGTCGCCTCAGTATGTCTCGCCCCAGACAACACTGTGTTGTCCCACGCTCATTATATTTTCACACTCTGCTACACTACAACACAAATATACACACAGACTTCCACACAAATCCACCGTGACTCTGTCTGTGTGTGTGTCTGTGTGTCTGTGTCCCGGCCCGGGCCTGATGGAAACGCTTCATTTTACTTTGAACAAAGGCTTCTTTTATTTACTCACTGACATTTATTTAGGAATGTGCCGTGCTGTTGTTGTAACGTTTTGGTAAATGTTTGCAGTCAACCCTTTTCCTGCAGCCAATTGCCCCCATTTCCATTTGAAGTAAATAACTGCACTTGATGTCAAATGTGAAAAACGTGGTTCATAAAAATTCATTGTCGTTGTGATCATCGTCAGGCCAATGGAAACGACACCAATTATGATCAGGTTCGCCGAGTTTCTATCTTGTTGTTTCTGCAGTATCGGAACATTTCCACTGAAGATTTGATTCGTTTTACAGTCCTGGCTAAGGTTTAAATTCAATTTAAATAGTTAGAGTTTTGAATATACTGCACATTTTATCAGCATTGTATAAAGCAGTGGTCCCCCAACCCTTTTTTTGTACCAAGGACCGGTATCAGCCGTTACTGTGGACCGATAATACCACGCCATCGTTGAAGGATCATTTCATTTTCAGAATAAAACGTCTTTTAGACTTTCTTTTCTTAGTATCAGAGTCTGAATGACCTTTGACCATAAGGGATAATGACTGGATTCTTTTAGAATTAAGTCAATTAGTAAAACTGAGGTACATTTTTTCACTGTGTCTCGCAGCGGCCCGGTACAAAATGACCTGCGTACCAACACTGGTCCCTGAACCAGGGGTTGGGGACCCCTAATTATTGTGTTAAAGAATCCCTTTTGTCTGAGTGTGCGGATAAAACATATTGCAGTTGCATAAAAAAGACAAATCTTATAAAAGCAGCTTTACTGTATAAACTGTGACCGAGCAAAACTCTGCCATCATCAGAGCAGAAAGCCACGGGTGAGGATATCGTCTCCTCCTGGAGAAGGTGGGAGCATGTGTCAAGGGAGGAAGTACAGAGGCACAGTGTTAAGTACACGGAGGCAGGAAGCATGGGATACGTGGGAGGAAACACTAAAATCCCGGATTCTCCTTTAACAACATCTCGCAGGCGGAACAGCAGCTCATGTTTTCAGAAGCTTTAATACATGTTCCAGGGCCCTCCCTAATCATTCAAGGCTTTCAGTCGGGGACAGGGGTAACAGCTTTTTCGCTTGACTGTCACTTGGGCGATGCTGTCGAACAGCACTCTGGGAGGACTGCTGTTACTGGTGACAAAAGTACAGTGTCCATCAGGTGTGAAGATTTACTTAAAAGATGATGTGACACACTGATTTGATGATAATTAAGATAAGTAGTTTAAATTTATAATCACCTTTCAGGGCTCACTGTACAAAACACAATAAAAAATAAAGTAAATAAACAAAATAAAATACAACAGATGATAAGGCAGAAGTTGCGATACCTATGCTTGTCTGAAGAGGTGGTTTTTAAGGTGATATTTATGGTGGTTTGAGAGTTGTAGATAGTTCTGAGAGGGTGAACCTGCGGCAAGGGGCCGATCAGCTGAAGGGTCTCGACCCACGGTCACTTCATGTGATGTTAAATGTTTTTTATCTTGCAATAAAAACTGGGTCATTAGAGATTCAAGGTTCACTCGATGATACTCTGTGACTCTGGACTTTTTGAAAAAAAAAAAAATTCCCACGTCAACCAGCCCCAGTGTCAAGCGCTCTCTTGTTGTGCTTATATATGTGTGTTGGAAATACCAAAAGCATTCTCACATAAACAGACGGCTCAATACAACTCGTTCATGTCTGATATCGATAATGGAACTTGGAGTATCTACCGATACTAATATCATTCCCAAAGACTGGGTCACGGCACTCACGTGGGTCACAAGATATGTTTTTTTGGGTCGTCTCACCCAACGTTTCTCAGGAGTTTGTAAATAAGGTCTATTGACTTGGGTTGCAAATGTTTGTGACTTTTAAAATATGGGTCCCCAGATAAAAAGTTTGGGAAATACTGGGCTAAGGTATCAGATCATAAAGGCTACAGTTTTTTTTTATGATATGTCATTCTGTAATGTTGACCAATATCAGACTGATTCCAGTCCCGATCCATCCCTGGTATGAAATATACATTTAATACAATATAAACGTATAATATTGTTTATTTGTTTTACGAAAAAGAAAAGTTTTGTAAGCCCACCACAGTTCACCTGACTTTGTCCTCACACCAATTATTGTATGCTTCTTGTCCTCAGTAATCTTCTGTGTTCTCCTTGTCGCCCCTTAGTGTCTGACAGCCAGACAGGAGCAGCAGGAGGTGGACCAGTGGGAAGGCTGGACTCCAAACATTCCCGCTTTCCATCATCACTGCCCACATACCTCCCCGTCCAGTGCCAGTTGAACGGCACCGACTCCGCCTTCTTCCTGCGGGAAGCCAATCAAGAAGTGGTGAGAAATGGCAGCCTGTCATCACGGACCGAGCCCTTCTTTCTCCACCGGCTGGAACCTGGCATCGCTGCGCCGCGAAACCTGCCAAGTGTTAACTGCAGCTACGGGAACCTAAGCACTGAGCAGCCAATCCCGGTGGAGCTGCTTCAGAGTCCACTGCCGCACGTGCTGCAGACGACCAATCTGGTGACTTTGAACTGGAAAATCAAAGGTCAAGTTGTGGTTCCCAAAGTTGGACCAGCAAGACCCTGGATACAGGTATCAAGATATTTCTATTTCTAATACTTTCTAATACTCTAATACTATCTAATATGATCTGATTTGATGATATGCTTAAGCGATTCTACAAAAATATTCTGAACAGGTCATAGATATGAACATTTTGCTTTGGCATTTTTTTTTGTCCAAACATCTTTCTGAGGACCCAAATTCCTTCTGTTTGTTTTCAGGTACTATTTTATTTAGTGGGGCGACGTTGGGATGAGCCTGACCCACTTCCTGCCGCCCTTCTACCATGTGTCCGAGTCATGGCTATCCGGGACCCCAGTGAAACTGCGCCCTCAGCTGGCTGCCGACTGTCGGGCCCATCTGGAATTTGCGTTGTCCGCCTGGAGATTCCTCCAGCGTGGTTTATGCCGCCACACATACGAAAAAGACCTCCCGAAGGCTCTCTGCCGTCAGTGGATGTGTATTACTCAGTTATACCAGTAGCAGGCGCTGGTCAAGAATGTCCCCATATTGTGAACGAACCATGGAAGGGTAAAAGTGTAAATATTGGGCCTCTTGGAGGGTTGGGTATGGGCCCGAGGGGTAAGTGGAGCAGCCAAGTCGATGATGATCTCCAGGACTTTCTGAAGTTGGGTTCTGTGGTAATGACAACGGGAAAAGTTTCTGCCAAAGGAGAACGACTCAGGCTAGATGAAAATGTGGAAGTTCTGATTCCACCCAGTCCAGTTCGGCTTGGCAAGACGGTGTATTTTGGTGTCTTCATGAGGACGGATTCAAATACAGAGCAGTTCACACTGAGGTAAGAAACTGATTTTTTTTTTCATGTATTTTGATTCCCTCTACTGCCCCCTAGGCTTGATGACTGCCTCATTTTTATATTGAGCACATTTTAGGAGCCAGGCCAGATAACAAGCTCATGGATATTCATGAGTAATCTAAGTAGAGAAGGAAACACAGAATTCCAATCATGGAGAGAAAGAGGTGACTTAGAGGATGTGAACTTTAGTAAGACGCGAAAATAAGGGGAAAATAAGGGGGAGGACGTGATGCTGCGGCCCTATCTGGTCAAGGCTTAGATCTGGAGGAGACGTCAAGTGCTCTTGCCTGTCAAAGAAATGTGTCCCCACATACAAAACCGGTGACCATTTCGCCACCTTCTCGATCTTTAGACCCTACCCCAACCCCCACAGCCACCAACAGCTGGACATTGAACAATAAATATTTAATGTTTGACTTATCAAGCATTGCTTTCTTCCTCTTCCTATTTGGAAAATTAAAACTATAAACCCAGCTGAAGATATTTAATGTGTAACCATGCTCAGGAAGAAAGAGCACGTCATCAGCGTGAGGCACTCGGTAAAAGACTTGGCCCCAATTGTGCTCTCAGATTTTGTCACTCGCAGCCAATCAACCTGCATTGACCGCCATTAATGACGTGGTTCCGCTCTGACCTGTTTTCATTCTTCAAGAACCAGAAATTTTTAACCCAACTAAGTGGGTTCAAGAGGCCGAATTTGTTTTCCTCCCATGTGAACCTCAAACGCAGGAAGTCACTGATGGCCATTTCCTGCTCACTTGTATGAATCACACTAAACATTTGTTGCATTTTGATGCATTTTGAGAGCAGAACAGAAATGATTATGTTGTTCATCGGCATTTTTTTGCACATGGTTCATCATGGTTCTACAGTGTTGAGGGAATGTATCATTTGGCAAGTATTCTAGGATTCTTTATGTAGCTTGTTATTGGCTGAAAACGTCTCGTGAGATGACCAGTAAACCAAGTCCACTATGTGGCAGGTTTATTTTTTTTCAAATTATTAGGTGGCTTAATGGTTAAGGAAGAGGACTTGGGTCCGGAAGGCTTCAGGTTCGAGTCCACCAGCTGAGTCCACCACTGAGGTGTCCACTGTTCACTTTGGTGATGGGTTAAAAACAGAGGTCAACTAGTACAAGTAGTTCACTTTCCACACAAGTATTGTATGTCACAAACACTTGGATTACGTGTCAAATTCAAGGCCCACAGACCAAATAAGGCCTACCGTATCATTCTATGTGGCCCACCAGAACTTATCGTACGTATGTTTGTCTTAAAATGAACATTTATCTGAAAAGAGTCTGTCCTTATGGTTATTGGGTGCCTAAAACTAAATGCTCAGTTTGTGTGCAGGGAGAGTAATTCACAATTCTTCTTTCTTGAATTCTTCTTCTAATCAATAATGCATTTACATTTGTTCACCAAAAACACAAATCTCCATAATTGATGTTGTTTTTGTGACATTTTGGTGCTGGAATAGACTTTTCAGTAAATATTAACCCTGTTCGACCCACAATTACCTTTTTACATTTTTTGGCCACTTGCATTAATAAGTTTGATACCCATGACCTTGAAACTAGACTTAAACTTAACTGACCTTTAGTGGTTATTTCCATGTGTTGTTTTAAAGTGAGAAAAACTCCCAAATTTATCGTACAGAGTGAGAGTATTAATTTTATGGTCAATTTGTCAACGGTCGTAAAGTCCGCAGAATCCAACACCTGAAGTGGATCAGAGGGAGGGTGGTGCTGGTGCTGATGTCGGCGCTGGGCACAAGGTGGTGTCATCTGCATCAGCTGACATTGAGTAAGAAAGATGGAAAAGGCAGGATGAGAATGAATGA